AGAAAGAAAGAAAGAAAGAAAGAAAGAAAGAAAGAAAGAAAGAAAGAGAAAGAGAAATAAAGAAAAGTCAGGGAGGAAGGAAGGAAGGAAGGAAAGAAAGAAAGAAAGAAAGAAGAAAGGAAAGTGCTATGTACTTGATTCAATCTTGGTTTAATCTGGTCAGTCCTAATTCCCTGTTTTATATATTTGTAATTTTTGCACTGAAAAAGATAGTAGAATAGCATCAATGAATATCTGATTGTACAAGCCCAGTAAGTGGTTACTTAAAGTTGAATGATTCTTCTAAAGAGGGCTAAACTTCTGTAACTATATACTGTATCACAGCAATATTCATACCCCCAGAGTGCTGTGAACTGCAAATCCTACTCAGATGGTATTCATTTGCCCAACACTTCTCATCTCATATATCACTTCTATAATATATGTCATCTCCAGCACCAGACTGATAAATACTTTCATATTTGTTTATATTCTCCATTACCAAACCTATTAGAGCCAAAGATAGGGATATTTCCCTACAAAGAAATAACTTTTAGTTGTTTAAAGGAAAATTATAAACTGAAAAGACTTTTGGAGATTTCAAGGTAAAACCTTGGGACTTCACAGTTTATAAGTAAATCCAGATAGTAAATGCATATGAACAATGTGAAATGTGTGATCATATTTTTAATACAAGGCAAGGGAAAAAGAAACGTTTGCCAATATTGTGGCTTATTCTTCTGAAAGTTCCATAGAAGACAATCTAACCCAATGGAGTTAAACTATATTTTTTAATCGTACAGATGACCAATTAAATATAAAACAAGAAATCAACAAAATGTCATCTTTATTAACTAGTGTTAATCATTTTATTGCATCATATATAGTTAAACATATATGGCAAAGACAAAGTGAGAAGGGTTGGTAACATTCAAATTAGATTAATAATATTTAAGGAAATAATTTTAGGCCTATAATAACAAGCATATATCAAGCAATACAAACTGATTTAATCACATCATACCAGCTGTTTATAAATTTCAGAGATCAAAAGGAGACACAGTGTCGCTTAGTGGATGAGTGCAGGAGTCAGTAAGAGCTGGGCTCTTAATTCCTCCCTCTGACTCATACTAGCTATGACCCCCCCCAACACACACACACACACACACACACACACACACACACACACACACATACAAAATCTCTTAGTGCCCCCAGGGAACTCTGAAAGACAGAAGGAATTGCTGATCTAGATTGCTTCTAGGAGTTTCCACTCTGGGAGTTTCCTACACCAATGAAAGTACTCCAAAAAAAGTGATTGAGCAAATGTTGCTTATTAAATAAGAAGAATATTGATTAAGAGTTCATTATTATTTTGTAACATAAATGAATCAAAGGCTTTGATAAGTGAGGCAGCTCAGAGAAAGCACCTGAAGTTTTCATCATCAATATAATAGATCTAGATAGTTATTCTCCAATTAGTTAGTAGATTGTGGGATCCTTGTATTTATGTTGCCCTAATAAAATGTCTTCTGCCTCAAAGATGTTAATAAGATAATATACTTTGGACGACATCAAACATTCACATGCTATAACACTTGCCTCTGTCTGTCATGCTGAAAACATTAACATAAAGAATTGGACAAAAATAAATAGTGTACTATTACCATTATCAAAACCCTTAATATAAAAATACTTGTCACTCATTTTGTTCAAAATTTCAGCGGGTCTATGATTTTGATTGTACTTTTAAGTGTTACTTTTGTTGAAGCAGCTATGGCCTCATATATTCTAGACAGTTACTGTCTTGTTTTTCCTTGAATGTAAGAAACTACCAGTGACTTTTAGATGAGGCTGACTAAAAAGGAATACATAATATACATACACATACATGCACCCATACATACATACATACATAATAATATGCTCTTGGACTCTCAGTTTAGCATCTAGGTTTCCAACAGAATAATAAAAAATAATTGATTTATACAACATTCAAACTCTCCTTTCTAGGTTCACAGCTTCAAAAAGTGTTACATGTGTGCATGCCACCAAGCATGGTAGTACACATTGGTAATCCTAACTACAGAGGAGGCAAAAACTGCTTGATGTCTTGAGTTCAGACTTCAGAGCTACAGTACAGATAGTACGAATTGGGAGTCCACAGCAAGTACTGCTCCAAAATGATGAGGCCCTTGGAGCAGGTGACAAGCATGTAGCCTAAGGAAGGGTGAACTTGCCCAGGTCTGAAATGGAAACTCCCATGCAAATTAAAGCAGGACTGGTCCTGTGAATAGCCCTTGTACCTCTAGCCTGGGCAATATGGGAAGATTAAAAAAAAATAAACAAACCCCAAAACAAAACCAAATAGCTTATAGTCTTCTAATCCTGCCTAAGTAGGATGAATTTACTCAACTGACTGCCCTTTCATGATACTTTATGACTGTCTCATGGACATAACAGGGATGCTCATAATCATCAACAACAACAACAAATCAGAATGAATCCATTGAAATGCACATGAAATATGCTGTTAAAAAAAAACAAAACAGGAAAAAATAAGAAAAGCTTACTGACTGTTCAGTATAGCTTGGACAAAAGTACAGAGTCCCTGAAGGACAGGCATACCTTCAGCATTACACATAGCAGCTGGCTATATCATTCTGAAATAAATACACATGAGAAAAGGATGAGATGAAGTGATTTGCAAACTAGCTTTGTACAGTATCCCCTTTTTCATTGCTTAAAATATGAAACTTCCTCAGGAAGAAATGAAATAGTTATTTCAATGTTTATAGCTGTAATATTCTTGTCATTCACATTGAATGAAAATCACTGGAAACATTTTTTCTCTTTTTTTTAAATAAAAAACCTGGATATTATTCTGATAGTGGCATGATATCTGCTATGTACAATAAACTCTGATAATAAAATGTTTCACCATGGCCTCCTGACTTTATGTTAATAATTTATCTTTTCTATTGTTTATTTTTGAACTTGAACCTTATTAGCATAATTAAGAATGCCAAGAGATTCACAAATGGGTCTTTATAGAAAAACAGTATTACTGATTCTCTTTCAATCTAGTCCCTGTATAATACTTGTTTCCTCACGGATTATTTACTTCCTGAATTATTGGATCATAGAGTCACATATGCAGAAGAGGTCTTCAAGGTCACCAAGAATTGTAAAAGCAGTGTGATTATATGAACTTTGAGGAGATATGACATCAAGATCTTAGCAAATAAGTAAAAGCCATTTCCACCACACACACACACACACACACACAAATTAACATTTGGGTCAATATTCTTGACTTATATCTAAAAATATTTTTCCACAAATTTTCCACCCTACCTCCACACTGTTATTTTTACCCCTATGATATTTCACCTAGTTCATTGCTGAAGACATTTTCTCTACACACCACAGGGGCTTAGCAAATGTCATTACCGAACCAATTCATCTTCCTTTTACAATTTCAACAGTATTTCCATTTTCCAATTCTTTCTGTATCCTAATCAGTATGCTTTCTTCACCATTTAGTCCAGCCTCCATCATTTACAAACAATATCAATAATGGGCTAATAAGACTGAGGGCAGTTATGCATAGTGATTAAAGAGAACCAATCTCAAAGCCCAAAAGACTTAAGTTTAAGTGTCTCCTCGACATATGCTGACTGTGTTACTGTGGGTGAGTTATTAAGTTTTCAGTGCCCTTGACAACTCTCTAAGACAACTTCAGGGCAGTTTGACCTGCTTTGGTAGAGGGAATCATTCATCAGGGCTCTTCTAGTACCCATCCCTAACCAGATGCATCTTGTCTCTTCCTTCTGAAGCATCTCCCTGAGAAAAATTAGCAACTCCTAAGTATGATGATGATTTTAGGGAAAAAAACAACTATGTGGCTAGTAACGATAACAATCTTGGTTACGTCATATATTATATTCATATACCGTATTCATACAGCAACTGCTCACATAGTGTAGCTCATATGCCAAGGAACCTAAAGTACATTTCATATTTTTAAGTCTTTAGCCAAGGTATCTCTTTAATCAAGAGTTCTATTAGGAAAGATTTCCTACCCAGCTGCACTCTTTTGGTCTTCTCCGTCATGCCCCTACATGGAGTAGGGGCACCTACTCCTCCACCTTTTGTCAACTTCCTTTCATGTGTTGTCCTCCCCCAATCAAGAAGCTTAACTGTAAGCTCCTTGAGGGCAGGGACTATCTTTCTTTTTCATATTTGTATCCTTAT